GTAACCTTTGCAGGCGACAGAAGGACACCAGCAGCATTTGCTTCGTCGTCTTCTCTTCATAATGGAGTGGGAACAGTTTCTGTGAAGGTGGAGCAGGTCAGTGAAGAGTCACGGTGGAGGCAGGCCCGGTTTGGCTGGGGAGGGGCCGTGGCTCAGTGGTAGGGCCTCTGCCTGAGGTCCCAGGTTCAGTCCCTGGCATCTCCCGTTCAGAGGACCAGGCCAGAAGGGGATGCAAAGGACCACAACCAGAGACCCTGGATGGATGATGCTGGTCCGAGTAGACACAATACTGACCTTGAGGGACCAGTGAGCTGGTTCATGGGTGTGGGAATCTGCTGTCATTCCCAGGGCCTGAAGCCATCCTTCTTCTTTTGCCTCTGCCCACTAGGGAAGCTGTGTAAAAAAAAAAAAGTTTGAACCCTTCTGGATAACTGTGTCATCAACCCACATTTTGAATTTGGCTAAATAGGAGAACAAAAGAGCCCTGCTGGACCAGACCAATAGTCCATCTAGTCCAGCATCCTGTCTCACACAGTGACCAACCAGTTCCTCTGGATGGCCAACAACAGGGCATAGAGGCCGAGGCCTTCATAAGAACATAAGAAGAGCCCTGCTGGATCAGACCAGTGGTCCATCGAGTCCAGCAGCCTGTCTCACACAGTGGCCAGTCAGTTCCTCTGGATGGCCAACAACAGGGCATAGAGGCCGAGGCCTTCATAAGAACATAAGAAGAGCCCTGCTGGATCAGACCAATAGTCCATCTAGTCCAGCATCCTGTCTCACACAGTGGCCAACCAGTTCCTCTGGATGGCCAACAACAGGGCATAGAGGCCGAGGCCTTCATAAGAACATAAGAAGAGCCCTGCTGGATCAGACCAATAGTCCATCGAGTCCAGCAGCCTGTCTCACACAGTGGCCAACCCGTTCCTCTGGAGGACCAACAACAGGTCAGAGAGGCCAAGGCCTTCATGAGAACATAAGAAGAGCCCTGCCAGACCATGTCTAGTAGCCATTGATAGACTTCTCCTCCATGTATCTATGATCCACTTTTAAAATTGTTTATTCCTGTGGCCATTACTACATCCTCTCACAGTGAAAAACTATGGTATAATATAAGAGGAAGAAATGTTTTCTTTTTCTTTCAGAGTCCAGTGACCTTCAAGGAGGTGCATGTGTATTTCACCGAGGAGGAGTGGAGCCTGCTGAATCCGGACCAAAGAGCCTTGTACATCGAAGTCATGCTGGAGAACTGTGGGAATGTGGCCTTTCTGGGTAAGGCTCCCTTTATGATAGATGCAGGAGGCTGAAATTTTGGCTTTTGAGTCAGTGGCAGAGCATCTGTCTGGCTTGCAGAAGTTCAAAGATTCAGTTGAAAGGATGATTTGGCTAAGGATCTAACTCAGGTAAAGGCATGTTCAGAAGAACATAACATAGGAACACGAGAAGAGCCCTGCTTGATCTGTCCAAAAGTCCATCCAGTCCGGTATCCTGTCTCACACAGTGGTCAACTAGTTCCTCCAAATGGTCAACAACAGGGCATAGAGGCTGAGGCCTCCCCCAGATGTTGCCTCCTGGCTCTGGGATTCAGAGGCTTAGTGCCTCTGAATGTGGAGGTTCCCCTCAGTCACCATGGCTAGGAGCCACTGATAGACCTGCCCTCCGTGAATCTGTCTCATCCTGCATTTTAAGGCCTGTCTGTGTAAAGAAGTGTTTCCTTTCCCCCCCATCCTGAATTTATTTATTTATTTATTTATTTTTATTGGATTTATATCCCGCCCTCCCCTGTCCGTCACCTTCATTGGACGCCCTCAAGTTCTATTCTTTGGGAAGAGGGAGAAAAGTTCTCTTTGTCAGCTCTCTCCACCCCGTGCGTAATTTTATAAAAGTCTGTCACGTCCCACGTCCGTCCTCTCTTTTCTAAACTAAAAAGTCCCGGACTCTTCGTCAGCGCTTCCTCCTAGGGGAGGTGCTCCAACCCTCCTCTGTACCTTTTCCAGCTCTGCAAAGCCCTTTTTAAGGTACAGTGACCTGAACTGTGCACATTCCAAATGAGGATCTCTACAGGGGCATTATAATATCGGCCATTTTATTTTCAATCCCTTTCCTAATACTCCCTAACATAGAGTTTGGCCCCGGCCACACGGGCCGGATATCGCAGGGGGGCGTGGCTAATTGCCCCGGCGCAGTTTGATCCGCAATTACGCGATCCGACGCGCCGGCGGCACACCACGGGTCCTTCCCTCAGTGCCGGCGGGTAAACGAGGGTGGCGATCACACGACAATCCTGCAGCACGGCAAAGAAGCGGCACGGCACGATCACATGAGCAATGGCTAGGCACCGCTGCCGTGAAAAACGGAGTCATTTATTATTTTTTTACGCCGAAACGGCACTTTCGCTTTCCTCTTTGTGCGCATGCACCATTGGGTGCTTGTGCGCATCTTGTGGAGACTTGGGGAGGAAAACCCTGTTTGCGAAGGGACGTGGGCGGGCGCTGGATGCCACCACCGGAAACGCGATCAGACGCCCGCCCTTGCCCCGCGGTTTCCGGAAACTAGTACCTTGGAGGTACTACTTTTTAACTCCGCATCTTCGGCGGGAAGCCTCGGGTTCGCCACGGGAGCTCTACGCTTCCCAGATGTTGCGGTGTGATTGCGCCCGGAAAATCCGCCTATCTTCCGTCTCTGTAGAGTGGCTACTGCTCTGTGTGACCGTAGCCTTTGCCTTTTTATTGCTGCAGCACCTGGTGGTTGACACTATCAATTGAGCTATCCACTACACCTCAAGAGATTTCCCCCTCAGTCTCAACAAGTTCAGACCCCATTAGACTATAACTGAAGCTGGGGATTTTTCGTTCCGCTGTGCATCACCTCACACTTACCACCATTAAACTTCATCCGCTGCATTGTCACCCCCTCACAATTTCTTGCAACTATCACAAGAAAGCCTTGGTTTTCGGCACCCTGAATAATTTTGTGTCATCGGCAAACTTGGCCACTGCACCACTCACCGACACTTCCCGGTCTCTTTATGAAGACATGAAATCGCATGAGTCCTAATACTGATCCATGTGAGACCCCACTGATTACCTCCCTCCATTGTGAGAACTGTCCGTTTATTCCTGCTTTTTGCTTCCTGTCATTTAACCAATTTTTAATCCATAAGAGAATCCATCCTCTTATCCCATGACTGCTAAGTTTATTCAGGAGTCTTTGGAGAGGTACCTTGTCAAAAGCCTGTTGAAAGTCCAAGTAGATGATGTCTACCGGGTCATTGTCTACATGCTTTTTCACTTTTTCAGAGCAAAAGGTTGGTGAGGCAGGACTTCCCTTTGCAGAAGCCATGCTGCTTTCCCCCCAGCAGGCTTTGTTCCTTTGTGTGCCTAATAATTCTTTGGTTACCGTTTCTACTAACTTGCCTGGAACAGACGTTAGACCCCTTTTTAAAAAATGAGGGTCGCATTTGCTACTCTCCAGTCTTTGTGTGCTGTTTTTCTGATTATCAGCACCCATATCTTCTTCTTTTGCCCTTTGTTTTTGACCTTTGGGGAACCATTTCACAGATTTGGTTTTTCAGCATTTGTGGAAACTGCCCTCAACTACGCAGATCCCTTTGCCTTCTCCCTACCTACCCTGTTCAAGTGCTTTTGCTAGCTGGACCAGGACAGGAATTCAAAATCTACTGGGCTCAGCAATCCAAGTTGCTCCGAGCCCATCCAGCTCTGCCGTGACTGGCAATGGCTCATCAGGGACTCATGCAGAGTACGGCCAAGCTTTCTTAGCAGGGTTCTTTACGTGGGGAGACCAGTCCCAATTTGGGACCTTCTGTAGGCAACGTAGATGCTCTGCCACTGAGCCACCCCACACTGCTTTATGTTCCCATTTATCCTACTTATATCCTGCTCTATTTATGCTGTTCTCCCCTTTCCCTAGTTTTCTCTAGTTCCAGCTCCTGCCAACCTAGCAGTTCGAAAGCGAGAAATTGCAAGTAGATAAATAGGTACCACTTCGGTGGAAAGGGAATAGCGTTCCGTGCGCCTTGGTGTTTAGTCATGCTGGCCACATGACCACGGAATCGTCTTTGGACAGCGCTGGCTCTTCGGCTTTGAAGCGGAGATGAGCACCGCAACCCTAGAGTCGGACTCGACTGGCTTTCGAGCAAGGGAACCTTTACCTTTACCCCTTTCCTACAGACAACCCAGCATGGGTTTGCTGTAGTGGTTAAGTGCGCGGACTCTAATCTGGGAGAACAGGGTTAGATTCCCCACTCCTCCACTTGCAGCTGCTGGATGACCTTGGGCAAGCCATAGTTCTGTCAGGGCTGTTCTCTCAAGGACAGTTCTGGAAAGAGCTCTCTCAGCCCCACCTACCTCACAGGGTGACTGTTGTGGGGAGGGGGAGGGAAAGGAGTTTGTAAGCCGCTCTGAGACTCCGAGTGAAGGGCGGGGTATAAATCCAATCTCCCCCCCCCCGTCCTCCCCCTTCTTCTTCTTCTTTTGTGGTTTGAATCTTCACTCTGCCCCAGGAGCTCCCTGGGTAACCTTGGGCTAGTATCTCTGGCCGTTTCTCTCACACTCTCAGCCACACCTACCTGACAGGGTTTTGTGAGGATAAAATGGAGCAGGGGAGAACTTTGTTAGCCACTTCTGAGTCCCCATCAGGGAAAAAAACTTGGGGCATAAATGAATTAAAATAAAATAAATACAAAGAATTGTTAGTCTCTTCTGTCCTGCCATTTAGAAGGCTATGTGACTGGGTTTCTTTCCTCGTTTGAGGTTCCAGTTTTGCTTCAGGCCTTTTTAACAGTTTCTCTCTCTTTTTTTTCCCGGCAGGTGGTGGGAGGGACACCAAGGGAGAGCACATTGTTGTGACTCCGGAAAGAGGCAGATACACAGATGGAGGAGAGCAGGGAAGAAAAACAGAGGAGAAGCAGGAGAAGGGGAATGAATCCTTGGCCGCTCGAAGCGACGACTGTCGTGAAATCCCCATGCATGAAAGACGAGACAAAGGAAAGAACACGTGTCACGAATGTGGGAAAAGCTTCAGTTCTAAGTCTAACCTTAAGACTCACTGTAAGATCCATACAGGGGAGAAGCCATTTAAATGCCTGGACTGTGGGAAGAGGTTCACTTTGAAGTACAGCCTTGTGGTACATCAGAGAATCCACACAGGGGAGAAACCATATGAATGCGTGGAATGTGGGAAGAGCTTCAGTCAGAGTGCAGACCTCCTCAGGCACCAAAGAATCCACACAGGAGAAAAACCATATAAATGCTTGGAGTGTGGAAAGAGCTTTAGTCGGAATACGTACCTTAATGCCCACCAAAGAATCCACACTGGGGAGAAATCAAATAAATGCCAAGAGCGCGGAAGGAGCTTCCGGAAGAACACAGACCTTACTTTGCACCACAGAGGTCACACAGGCAAGAAACCTTATAAATGTCTGGAGTGTGGAAAGTGCTATAGGTGGCATTCGAGCTTCGCTTCCCATCAAAGAACCCACACAACGGAGAGACAATATAGTTGGTCTGAGTATGGCATGAGCTTTTGCGATGACTCAGTCCTTCAAAAAGCAACTGAGGCCCTGACCTGGATAGCCCAGGCAAGCCCGATCTCATCAGATCTCGGAAGCTAAGGAGGTCCGACCCTGGCAAGTACTTGGGAGACCTCCAGGGAATACTAGGGCCGGGATGCAGAGGCAGGCAATACTGAGCCCCCTCTCTGAAACATCCAAGCCCCACTAGGGGTCACCAGAAGTCAACCATGACTTCCAAGCGCGCACACACACACAAAAATACCCCCCCCAAAAAAAGCACCCGAGAGCCCCCAGAGGAATCAAGGCCTACGTGCTTAGAGTGGAGGTCTCTGACCTTTTTGAGCCTATGGGCATCTTTGGAAGTGTGATTCAATATGGTGGGCTGCTACAAAATGGCTGCCACAGGAAGCAGAGGAGGCCCCAAAATGATTGCTGTGGCTTAACCTTCAGCGACACAGTGAAGATTGTTGGACGGTGGAGGCAGCTGCTGCCAAAGCAGCGTTTTAGAAATCTGCACAGCAAATCAAATCTCCAAGGGCCACTCAGGAGTCTTGCTGGGCAAAAGTCCCATTTGGCTTTGCCCACTTTCTAGAAATGCTTGCCGAGCACCAGGAATGTGCACTGTGTTGGGAACATCTGGTCTACAGCATCAAAAGAGTCGTAGTGTACAACAGGATGAACAAGTCCGTTGCAGTGGGAGCTTTTGTGACAGATCAATCCTTCACTTACATTTAAAAAAACACTCTGAAAGAAAAAATTCTGTGATTCCTTCATATGCTCAGAATGTGGTAAGAACTTGAAATGGAGTGCAAGTTTTGCTTCACAACAATAGAGTCATACCCACAGAAAAGCATGTGTATTCTGTCTGGAGCTTGGCTGACCAAGCAAACCCATAATGAGTGACATTAAAAGCAAGTGGAAGAAAGCCTGTACAAATACTCAAGAGTGTGTCAAATAATTATTTTCATGCTCAAGAATGCATGAAAAAATTAAGCAAATGAATGAGAGTCACTTGGGCCCAACGTCTTACAAGATGTCAGAGAAGCTTCATGCAGCACCAAAGAACCCACACAGGGGAGAAACCTTTTGAATGCTCAGAGTGTGGGGAAAAATTCGGTAGGAGTGGCCATCTTCAACAGCATCAGAGAAATCCTTTGAACTCTCGGGAGGTGGTGGGCTCTCCTTGGGTTTTTTTTTTAAACAAAGGCTAGATGGCCATCTGACAGCAATGCTGATTCTTTGAACGTAGGCAGATCACGAGAAGGGAGGACAGGAAAGGTTGCATCAGTCCTTAGTTCTTGTGGCCCTTTCTTACATGCTCAGGGAAATGCTGATCGCCACTTTGGAGTCAGGAAGCAATTTTTCTCCAAGCCAGTTTGGCTGGAGACCCTGGAGGTGGGCTGGGGTTTTTGGCCATCTTCTGGGCATGGAGCAATGGTGACTGGGTGTGTGTGAGGGGGACATATTTGTGAAACTCCTGCATTGTGTAGGAGGTTGGACTAGATAATCCTGGAGATCCCTTCCAACTCTGATTCTAAGTATCTCACTGGTTGCAGTTAGAACTCCAGAGCTGGACCTCTGTCTGACCCAGCAGTAGAGTTCTTATGCCATGCAGAACGGCATTCCCTGCTTGTATTTGGTAATGGTTGGATGCTTAATATGTGTTGTAGCATAACACATCTGTGGTTGTTATCAAATCTCCATGTACAATGGTGGAAGCCAAGAGATGCTGTAAGTGCGAAGAAAATTTCCTTTCTGAAACATGGAAACAGAATGGGTCTCCCTCTCGTGCAAATTTTTGTGCTCTGAATTTGAAGCTGTTTGATAATAAAACACAAAATAAAATGCCAAATGCCTGACCCTCACTTCAGCGAGCAGTAGGGACTTCCCCAGAGCCATGAGTTTTAAGATTTACAGTACCGTTCCAAGCAGAGCTAATACACTCCCTTTCTCACAGTATGAGAACTTGTGGGCACTCTATGAAATTAATGAGCAGTAGGCTTAGAACAGATCCATCTCAATCCTCATTAAGATGCGGAATTCACTGCCACAGGAAGCGACGGCTACAAACATAGCTTCAAAAGGGGATTGGATAAACATCTGGAACTGAGGTCCATGAGTGGCTATAAGCCACAAAGTATAGATGGAACACTCTGTCTGGGGGCAGTGATGCTCTGTACTCTTGGTGCTTGGGGGGGGGCAACAGTGGGAGGACTTCTGAAGTTCTAGCCCTGCTAGGGACCTCCTGATGGCCCCTGGGTTTTGGCCACTGTATGACACAGTGTTGGACTCTAATCTGGAAGAACCAGGTTTGATTCCCCACTCCTCCACTTGCACCTGCTGATGTGACCTTGGGTCAGTCACAAGCTCTGGCACAGCTGTCCTTGAAAAAGAGCAGTTTCTGTCAAGAGTTCTCTCAGCCCCACCCACCTCACAGGGTGTCTATTGTGGGGAGGGGAAGGGAAAGGAGTTTGTAAGCCTCTCTGAGACTCCAAGTGAAGGGCGGGGTATAAATCCAATCTCTTCTTCTTCTTCTTCTTGGATGGGACGAGCTATTGGCTTGATCCAACATGGCTTCTCTTCTGTTCTAAGCTCACAAATCTCAATGGTCTTAGAAAGACGTAACTTTCCCTCAGATTGTGCTTCACATTTCCCTTTGGAGGAGGGAGCAACCAAGATATATTTTGGTCATCTCAGTTTCTTCAGCCCCTCACCCGGGTGGCCCAGGCTATCCCAATCTCGTCGGATCACAGAAGCTAAGCAGGGTCAGCCCTGGTTAGTACTTGGATGGGAGACCTCCAAGGAAGTCCTGGGTTGCTACACAAGAGGTAGGCCATGGCAAACGGCCCCTGTTTGTTCCTTGCCTTGAAAAATCTGTGATTGCCACTTTGGGGTCACTTTCTAGAAACACTTGCCAGGTACCTATGTGGTCATCATAGATCCGCTGCGACTTGACAGCAATTCCCACTACCCCCATCTCTAAATATGCACAAAGGGGTAGGGTGATTGGCCGAGGGCTTTTCTGAACAAGGTTTAGGATGCAGCTCTGCTTATTAACTGCATTTCTTCTTCCCTACAGACGGTTTGGCAGTCCCGTCCCGTCTCCCTTTTTAGACCAAGCTGCATCAAACACCTTGTGTAAAAAAAGACCCTGGCTGGGGTTGCCAAAAATAAGTACCATCCCCTTGAAGAACATAAGAAGAGCCCTGCAGGATCAGACCAGTGGTCCATCTAGTCCAGCCTCCTGTCTCACACAGTGGCCAACCAGTTCCTCTGGAGGGCCAACAGCAGGGCATAGAGGCCGAGGCCTTCGTAAGAACAAAAGAAGAGCCCTGCTGGATCAGACCAGTGGTCCATCTAGTCCAGCATCCTGTCTCACACAGTGGCCAACTGGGTCCTCTGGACAGCCAACAACAGGGCAGAGAGGCTAAGCCTTTCCATTGGGTTGCACCGGGAGTCTTCTGGTGCGTGGAAAATAGGGACCCGGGGAGGGGGCTGTTATTTTTTCACCTTCCAAAAGACTAGGACTTGAGGGAATCCAATGAAACTGATGGGCTGTTGGTTCAGGATGGACAAAAGGAAACACTACTTTACACAGAGAGTGATGAAAATGTAGAATTTGCTGCCAGAGGATGTAGTGACAACCACAGGAATAAACAGCATGAAAAGGGAGTTAGATTTCCGGAGGAGGAGTTCATCCGTGGCTATTAGCTAGGGTGGCTGAGGGGAACCTCTACATTCAGAGGTACTAAGCCTCTGAATCCCAGAGCCAGGAAGCAACATCAGGGGAAGGTAGGGCTGCCAACCCCCCAATGGGGGTGGGGGTTTGCTTAGTTTCGGGGGCCGCAATCTGCCACTGACCAGCGGGGGAAGCCCTGCCCCTGAAGAATCCCAGCGTGCCCGGTGTGATGATGTCACCTGGAAGTGATGTCATTGCACTGGGCACATCGTTTGGGGGGACACTCTAGTATTTGGATAAAAACTCTATGGTCACCATAGAATTTTACCATAATGCTAGAGCACCCCCTGCACAACATGCGTGGTGCGATGACATCACCTCTGGGTAATGTCATCAGGGCTTTTTTTGTAGAAAAAACCCAGCTGGAACTCATTAGCATAATAGGCCACACCCAACAGCAGAAACTCATTAGCATATTAGACCACACACTGGCACTATGGCTCATTAGCATATTAGGCCACACCCCATGCCTTCCCTTGGCTTGCCTGGGCGCCCCGCGCCCCCTTGAAGGGAAGGGAAGGCAGTTTAAGCAGGTCGGAGAAGACACGGGGAGGCATTTAAATGCCTCCCCAATCCTTCCAGGGCCCCCCTGACTCACCTGCCTTGGAATCGCCGGGGTTTTTTCCCCGCTCTCCAGGCCTTCCCTCTGTAGCCACGCACATGCAGAGGTTTTGGCTGTAGTGGGCGTGGCCTACTATGAAGCCAGGCGGAACTCCGTTCCTGTGCGTTCCTGCCCAAAAATAGCCCTGGTCATCATGTTGGGCATGCCGGGACACTTCAGGGGTGGGGCTTTCCCCATTGGCTGGTTGACACTTTGCAAATTAACCTCAGGAAAGTCTATGCATCTAGTTTCCCACCCTTGAGGACATATTGAACACTTTCCACATCTACAGTGCCTGGCTTGTATTGGACATGTTCTGGTTTCTGGAAGTAGATGCAAGAACAATACATGTATGGACCTGATGCATTTCTGCTCACAAGAGCCTTCTTCAGAGGTCAAAGAGTACAGAACATGCAAGAAAGTCCCTGTTACACTTGTAGGGCAGCGAACAATTGATAAAGGTCCAAAAATTGAACATTCCAATCTGGAATTGAATTACACACACACAAAATTTGTGGGTGCAACAATGTATCTGGCCTTGTGTCAGAAGCAATTGCATATATTGGAGATAGTACAGTACCAATATGTACTTTCCTGTATAGGTCTGAAAAGTACAAGGAAAATTGCCTGATCAGGGCCAGTGTGGATGAGCCGAAATCAGGTCATATCTTTTTCTTTTTGTGTACATTTGTCACTTTGAACATTTCATGAGGCTTTACTTGGGCCCCTGCAAGGTTTTTATATGTTTTTGAAATGAACACGGGTACTTTTGTCTATACCTATTGATCTTTTTAACTTTCGGCCCTTAACTAGTTTTCTAAACTTCCTTTGGAGGTTTTGTGCTCGGTTGGTTTCGTTTTTCTTCCCCTCTCTTTGTGGGTGCAATGTAGCCTGACCCTTTGCAGAGGGCTATTCATAATGCATTTGACGGTAGGTAACATTTGATGTGGTGGCTCAAGTGGTTAAGACGCTGAACTGCAGGCTGTGGAAGGTCAGTAGTTCAAGACCCGAATGTGCCGCATGACGGAGTGAGCTCTCGTCTCTAGTTCCAGCTCCTGCCAACCTAGCAGTTCGAAAGCAAGAAATTGCAAGTAGATAAATAGGGACCACTTTGGTGGGAAAGTAACAGCGTTCCGTGCGCCTTGGAGTTTAGTCATGCCGGCCACATGACCATGGAAACGTCTTTGGACAGCGCTGGCTCTTCGGCTTTGAAACTGAGATGAGCACCACAACCCTAGAGTCGGACTCGACTGGCTTTCGAGCAAGGGAACCTTTACCATTTGATGACTCTCTAAGCAGGGATTGTTTGGGGGATTTTGTGGGATGATTCAAGAGTGTAGGGCACCAGCATGTTTATTTTGGGGGGAGGACTCCCAATTCCTGAGGGGGGGGGGAATTGGCAGGAATCAGTGCAACTTTATATATGAGGACCTCCACCTTTTCTAACCCCCCATGATAAGCCCTGTCTCCAAGGGCTAGAGAGTGAGAGAGCACCCCAGTCCTAGAGAGGCACATGATGGGGGCTGCAGAGGGCCAGACCTCTGAACCTTCCGGGCTTCTGCTATGAGAGGCGGGGGTGGGAATCTGGTGAGCTGAAAGGGCTTTGGTGGTGGCGAAGGGGGGAAAATATGCAGCCCCGTAGCTGGGGATTTTTTGGGGAGAGGGCCTGGGGACCCCCACCAGCTAATTAAATCAAAGGCTCCAAGGCAGGGGAGATAATGCCCAGTGGCTGCAGCCAGTTTGGTGTAGTGGTTAAGTGTGCGGACTCTAATCTGGGAGAACCAGGTTTGATTCCCCACTCCTCCACTCACAGCTGCTGGATGACCTTGGGCAAGCCAACGTTCTGACAAGAGCTGTCCTTGAAAGGGGAGTTCTCTCGGAGCTCTCTCAGCCCCCACCTACCTCACAGGGTGTCTGTTGTGGGGAGGGGAAGGGAAAGGAGTTTGTAAGCTGCTCTGAGACTCCTTTGGGTAGTGAAGGGCGGGGTATAAATCCAATCTCTTATCTTCTTCCCACTCCCCCCCCCCCCACCAGGGCAGGCCTTCCCTTTGGAGCATCCAGCTCCGTCCCCTCCCTTCTTTTGGCTCCCCTGTCAACTAGGAGTAGCATTTCAGGTTGGGGGGGGGGGGAGAGATGAGAAAGTCTTGTTCAACATATAAGGCAGCCTTCTACCAAATCAGATCTCCATTGAGGTCAGTATGGCCGACTCTGACTGGCAGCAGTTCTCCAAGGTCTTTCACATCCCCTACCACCTTGTGCTTTTCAACTGCAGATGCCGCGGATTGAACCTGGGATTTTCTGCATGCCAAGCAGATGCTCTGACACTAAGCCATGGCCTCCCTAAATGAACCTAAAAAAGGTAAAGGTTCCCTTGCTCAAAAGCCAGTCGAATCCGACTCTAGGGTTCCGGTGCTCATCTCCGTTTCAGAGCCGAAGAGCCAGCGCTGTCCGAAGACGTTTCCGTCGTCATGTGACTAAACACCAAGGCGCACAGAACGCTGTCACCTTCCCACCGAAGTGGTATCTATTTATTTACTTGCAATTTCTTCCCTTCTAACAGCTAGGTTGGGAGGAGCTGGAACTAGAGACGGGAGCTCACTCCGTCATGTGAACTGCTGAACTACCGACCTTCCACAGCCTGCAGTTCAGCGTCTTAACCAATTAACCACTTGAGCCACCTGCCTTTTACCAAATTAGACCCTTGGTCTACATCATGCTGTTAAACTGGAGATGCCGTGGACTGAACTGAGTGGTCCTTCTGCATGCCAAGCAGATGCTCTGCCGCTGAGCCACGGCCCCTCCTATACAATTCCTTTTCCCTACAGGAGGAATGCAATATTCAATCAGCTGGTCAGATCACTTAAACACTTGTGATTGATCAGAACAGTACCCCCAACTAACTGGGGAGGAGACTTAAAAAAACCCCAAAACTAGTACTTACCAAAACAATGAGCGGGCGGTTTCATATCAGAAGAGGCATTCCCGAGAGTCTCTCTTGGGCTGCAAGGAATACCTCTTCTAAAATCAGTGCCTGCGGCAACTAGTGTTTAAGCATCAGTCCCCTTCAAACCCATTTTTAAATGCAAATTTAATTATAGCTCATCCAATTAAATCAACAAACTGGGCAACAAACAAACTAAATAGACCGTGGACAAAGTCATCCCTGTGAACATTTATCACACTTAGAAATGCAGAATTGAGACGAGGTGAGCATTTTGGTGCAGTGGTTAAGTGTGCGGACTCTAATCTGGGAGAACCATGTTTGAGTCCCCACTCCTCCACTTGCAGCTGCTGGATGACCTTGGGCAAGCCATAGTTCTGTCAGAGCTGTTCTCTCAAGGACAGTTCTAGAAAGAGCTCTCAGCCCCACTTACCTCACAGGGTGTCTATTTTGAGGAGAGAAAGGGAAGGAGACTGTAAGCCGCGCTGAGACTCTGAGTGAAGGGTGGGGTATAAATCCAATCTCTTCTTCTTTTCCTCATAATTAAAGGCGGTGAATACAGAGCAAGCAAACTCTGGATTGGGTAGAAAAAGAGCCAGAGTCCAGTAGCACCTTAAAGAGTAACAAAATTTGTGGCAGGGGAGGAGCTTTCGTGAGTCACTGCTCATTTCTTCAGATTCTCGATTGGTCGTGTGTCACTGAATACAAACAATGAACAAGTAAAGCTGTCGTCTGCTGAGTCAGACCCTTGGGCTGCTAAAGTCAGCCATATCTACTCTGAGCCAGTTTGGTGTAGTGGTTAAGAGCAGTGAACTCTAATCGGGAGAACTGGGTTTGATTATCTACTCCTCCACATGTAGCCAGCTGGGTGACCTTGGGTCAGTCACAAGAGCGTCTCAGACAGGGGTCGATTCGGGGGGGATCGCCGTTCCCCCGGGTGAGGTGCGGGGGGCGGGGCACACGACGAAGCCCCGCCCCCTGCTTCCGGCCACCCCGCTTCCGGCCCTCATTCAGCCAGGAGGAGGCAGGAAAAGAGGGAGGGTAAGTTGCTTCCTCCCCGCCTCTCCCTACCCCTGCCGCAAGGACTCCCAGCCCCATCCAGGAGCTTCCCCGAGGTAGCTGTGTTAGTCTGTTGCTGCAAAATAGTCCAAGAGTTCAAATAGCACCTTTAAGACTAACAAATAGCACCTTTAAGACTAACCTTTAAGACTAAGACTAACTGAGTGGTGGGTGTGGCCTTATGACTCACTTCCCGTGATGGCAGGGGGTGTGGCATATGCTAATGAGTTATGCTAATGAGTTCCCCTAGCTTTTTTTCTACAAAACGACCCCTGGTGTCAGAGCTCTTCTCTCAAGAGCAGTTTCTGTCAGAGAGCTCTCTCAGCCCCACCTACCTCACAGGGTGTCTGTTGTGGGGAGAGGAAGGGAAGGAGATTGTAAGCCATTCTGAGACTCCGAGTGAAGGGCGGGGTAGAAATCCAACTCTTCTTCTTCCGAGTGGCAGGGGTCTATCACATCGCGTGCTATCTGTAGATGCTGGGGACTAAATCTAGGACCTTCTGTGTGCCAAGCAGATGCTCTGCCACTAAGCCATGGCCCTCTCCCTAAACGAGCCTGCCTTTTATTGAGTCAGACCCTTGGGTTTACCTCACCCTTTCACCTGGAGATGTTGGGGATTGAACCTGGGAACCTCCTGAGCACCAAGCAGATGCTCAAGGGTCAAGACTCAGCCACAGTCTCCACTCTTAAACATAATGCTATTCATTTCAGACATATAACAAGCCAGGGATTGATGGTACAGTAACAAGCAGTGTTCCCTCTAAGCTGAGTTAGTGTGAGCTAGCTCACAATCTTTTAGCCTCCAGCTCAGAGACTTTTGTCTTTGCTCAGGAAGGAGGGGCTCCAGAGCAAACGAATTTATTCAGTAGTCAAATCACTCGCTCACAACTTTATTGCCAGTAGCTCGCAAAGTAGAACTTTTGCTCACAAGACTCCATGGCTTAGAGGGAACATTGGTAACAAGACAGGGAGATCCTTGGGTTTATGCACTCCACTCCCCCCCCCCCAAAAAAACCATCTTCTACTGAATCAGACCGTCAGTCTATCAAGGGCAGTCTTGTCTGCTCAACTGGCAGCAGCTCTCCAGGTCCTCTTATACACCACCTGCTATCTGGGCTTTTTTGTTGGAGAGGCCGGGGATTGAACCTGCGACCTCCTGCATGCCAAGCAGATGTTCTGCCACCTAGCCACATGACCCCGCCACCCATTTGCTGCGATCATCTGCTGAAGGGCTTGTCAGCTCCGAATCTCAGACTAGGGTTCCCTCTTTTCCCTTCAAAAGGATTCTTAGTGTGAAGGGAAGACAGAAAAACCATAGTTTGGGTGGACATCACCAGTGTTCCCTCTAAGCTGAGTTAGTGTGAGCTAGCTCACCGTTTCTTAGCCTCCGGCTTACACATTTTTTGCCCTAGCTCAGGAAGGATGGCTCCAGAGCAAACTAGTTCAATGCAGCAGCCAACTCGCTCGCTCACAATTTGAATGCCGGTAGCTCACAGAGTAGATTTTTTGCTCACAAGACTCCACAGCTCAGAGGGAACATTGGATATAACAGACTATGGCATGGGGGTCCCCAACACACTTTTCCTAGCACCCCCCATATGTTTTTAAGAATGTGGGAGAGGCCAGGTGGGGAGTTTACCCAGCGGGGTTTCTGATTGGCCACTGGAGATCTGATAGTCTGTGCAGATTTAAAAAAAACTCGCTTCAGCGGCAGCTGCCCCCACAGCACTTAACTTAAACTGCGTGTGTGTAAGAAAATAAACTCTGACGATACGTTCATTTTAAAAAGGCGTCCTTTTAGACAGAGTTTCTGCCTGAAATGCTGAAGAGTTACTGTTATGCATGACCTCCCTCTTTGACATTTCGTGGTCGGCTCCACCTCCTCCGGCAACCATTTTGTGTCCGGCTCCGCCTCCGGCAGCAGCCATTTTATGGTTGCCCCCACCACGCTGTGTCAGAATTCCAGAGAGGCCCACAGGTTCAAAAAGACAGATTTACAGCTTCCATGAAAGAGGAAGTCTTTAATTAGACTGCAGCACCAAGAGAAGGAGGAACCCCAGCTTGAGGCTTCCTCACGGTTTCACGTCATGGCAAACCACCCATCCGTAAGCACCACACCCGGCTCTGTGTTTCATGGTGTGACGGAACGGCCTTGTAGGACCCCCACACCTCCTCCCAACTGTGCGGCAAGCAAGGCACTCTGGTTACAGCAGAAGAAATTCTCCCAACCCTTCCCTTCTCATCATAATTCAAGGTCAGCCCCCCGCCCCCCAACAAGTATTATTTATATACATGATTTTGGGTAGGGGGAACCCATGAAATTAGACGACAGACGGCTGGATGTGAATCCTTTGATGTCTGATGAGGTGTTTGCTCCGATAGAAACTTTCTTCGCACTTGGAACATTTGAAGGGCTTCTTCCCGAGGTGGCTCCTCTGATGTCTAATCAGAGTGGACTTGTCGCAAAAAGACTTGCTACACTGCGGACATTCGAACGGTTTCTCTCCCGTGTGGTTCCTCTGGTGAGTGATCAGGTGTTGGCTCTGGTTGAAGCTTTTCCCACACTCGGAGCAGGTGAACGGCTTCTCTCCCGTGTGGTTCCTCTGGTGCGTGATAAGATGCTGCCTCTGGCTGAAGCTCTTCCCGCACTCGGAACACGTGTACGGTTTCTCCCCCGTGTGGGTCCTCCGGTGCCTGATCAGCCCAGACTTGTGACAAAAGTTTTTCCCGCAGTCCGCACACTTGTACGGCTTCTCCCCCGTGTGAATCCTCTGATGGGAGATTAGGTTCGTGCTCCGATTGAAGCGCTTCCCGCAGTTCACGCACGGATAAGGCTTCTCCCCCGTGTGGGTTCTCTGGTGACTGTTGAGGTCCGAACGCCGACGGAAGATTTTCCCACAGAGCGAGCATTCGTGTGGTTTCTCTCCCACGTGGGTCCTACTAAGGTTCGACTCATCTCGGAGAAACTTCCCACGCCCTGCCCCCTTGCCCCGCTTCTTTCTCTTGAGTATTCCTTGCGGGACTGAAATCTCGCAGAAGTCTCCATCCTGCCAGGAGATACATTTACTCCTCCACATCTCCCCATCGTGGCCCTCAAGTTTCTCAGGCCCAGCTTGGTTCCCGGTATTGTTGGCCAGATCCTGACCTCGTGTTCTTCCCGAGGAGACCCAACAGGACCCTTCATGGTCCCCTCCCTGCCCTTCATCTCCTGCTGAGACAGAAAGAGAACACAGGTGAAAAAACACATTGTCAAAATCAAGTCATTCGTTTAACCAAGAGTCCACAA